GGCTGGGGATACGAACCCGCCACCTTAGGTGTATGTGGCTGGCACCTTAGCCACTTGAGCCACAGGCGCCGAACCTCATTTTTTTTTTTTTTTATTGTTTGGGATTCATTGAGGGTACAAAGAATTAGGTTACACTGATTGCATTTGTTACATAAAGCGTCTCTTACACTTGTGTCCTGCCCCCAAGAGGTATGGCATACACTTTGACCCCCATCCCCCTCCTCCCCTCTCCACACTCCCTCATTCCCCTATCCCCCTTGTATTAGCTCATCTACTGCCTTCTTCAGTTATATACTCTATTCTATAAAAGTTTCAATGATGGCAATCGTTACAAGACATAGCTCTTTTTAAAAAGTGGGTAACTTTTAGATTTATCTGTGGGGCAAGCTAAATTTACACTAAACAATTCATTTTATAGTACTCCAGATATTTTCAGAGTTTAATTTTTTTTAGAGACAGTCTTACTTTGTCACCCTCAGTAGAGTACTGTGTCGTCACAGCTCACAGCACCCTCCAACTCCTGGGCTTAGGTGAGTCTCTTGCCTCAGCCTCCGAGTAGCTGGGACTACAAGTACCCACCACAACACTCGGCTATATTTTTTGTTGCAGTTTAGCCGGTGCCAAGTTCGAACCTGCAACCCTCAGTATATGGGGCCAGTGCCCTATTCACTGAGCCACAGGCGCCACCTTAAGAGTTTAATTTTTCAGGGCAATTTTCTTTCCTTTAATAAATAGTAAAACTCTACTATAGTGTAGACAGTGGGGGAAATTTTTAAAAATCTTCATGGTTTTAGTTTTCTGGTAAGAAACTACTTCCCAGTTTTCTTACTAGAAACAAAACTTTTGCTATGTGGCTCTACTCAGTACGTCAGAAAACAGATGCTTAGTGTATTAAATGAGAAAAGTGCGTAGCTCTCACGCATGGGCTGCTTTTCTTTTTTAAAAAATGATATGCTGGCACGATGATTCATACCTATCATCCTAGCAGTTTGGGAGGCTGAGGTGGGCAGATTGTTTGAGCTGAGGAATGTGAGACCAGCCTGAGCAAAAATGAGACCCTGTCTCTACAGAAAATAGAAATACCAGCCAGGTGTTGTGGTGGGCGCCTGTAGTCCTAGCTACTTGGGAACCTGAGGCAAGAGGATTGCTTGAGCCGAAGAATTTTGAGCTTGTTGTGAACTATGATGCTGCAGCACTTTACCCAAGGCAACAGAATGAGACTCTGTTT